TGTCTCAGTTCTTCATCTATATTATGAACTCATCCCAGGACTCTACTGACCTGCAAAGTCTCTTATATAAAGCCTCCTTCATGGCCTTTGAACAAGTATCATTCATTGACTGGCCAGCATACCATTTTGGTAACTTTTCCAAATTATTTCTTTTTAGTAGGCATGTGTGTTCTTAACAATTAGTTTATAAATACAAAGTGGCATAATCACATGAAAATGGAGAATCATTGCATATCTGTATTTTAAAATTAATGATTTTAAAAGGAAAAAATGCAAGATATATTATTGTTGTATTAGCAAAGGGAAATCTCATTTACCAAAAATTTAAAAGTGAACCCAAGTGAAATTTCTAGCAGGAATCTTTGAGCTTCAGGAATGTTCTTTGCTGTATTAGTGAGCTGTGCAGGCACTGTGTGAGGACAGCTCTGCCTCTAGCTCTAGGTACCTCAGTAAGACTCCTCAATACTTACACTAGTTTTTGTTCAGTTAAGTAGCAGCATTATAGGAATGACCAAACTGTGAAACAATTTTTTTACCATGCAATGACCTTATGCTGACTGGTACCTACCTTTTACATGGGTTACTTCGACAGAGCAGTAAACCGAAATGATTTTTTTAAATCATCCCAATATGACTAGTAAAAACAAGATGAAAGTAAAAAAGCAAGCAATAGCCTTTTCTTTTTTTCCTTCTCCTCTGCGTTGCTTTGCTTTTCCTACTGCCAGAGGTTTGTTAAACCCAGCAGTCAGTCCCCACAAAGGTTGTCACTAATTACTGAGGGGAGACTTAAAAATCGATGTGCTGCCTCTGGCATATGCCATTATTTACTTCACTTCCACCACAGCCCATTAATGTCACTGACCTGAAAAGTTGAAGTAGACAGAAAAGGCAAAAGAAACTAAAACCTTCTTCTGTGGCAATTCCAGTTTTCTTTTTCTGAACCATTTTTTTCCCGTGCCTTCTGCTGGGCTTTTACTACGCTCCCTCTTGGCACTGCAGGCCGTGCTTTTCCCGTGCCACCCCTTGGCACTGGCTCCGGACGGCACAGCTGTGCCTGGGAGGGGGCTGGGCTTTGCCGTGGGGGGCCGTGACCCTGCTCCAATCCAGCCGAGAAGCACAGAACGGTTTTACAGAAAAGAGAAGAGGGGAGAGAGGAAGAGAAATAAATAAGAGCAAGAATCTGGCAGCGTGGCAGTGCTCAGCAGCCGAGCCGGCAGCGCTGTGGGGCCCGGGACCCGCTTTGTGCTGCCGCTGCTGCCCCCGAATTCCCCCCGCAGGGCTGTGCCCGGCAGGGAGGGCAGGGCAGAAAACGTGGCCACACAGTGCCCAGTCCTGAATGGAGGACGCCCGGGCAGGAGCAGCAGGCTGGCAGTGGCACAGGGCCGACCGGTAGAATCCCCTCCAGGGATGGGGGGCTGCATCCCAGCAGGTGCTTCCAGCTGCTCCTGCGCCATCACCTCCCGTGCCAGGAGCGCCGCGGCTCCCTCAGGCCCCAGGCCCGGCTCACTCTGCACCGAGTCCTGTTTAACGAGGCTGCAGAAGGGAAAAATCGTTCACGATGAGCTCCCTTTTCGCGTCCTTTCTCAAGGAAAGGATGACCCACAACGGAGTCACAGCGGGAAAGGAGATGCCTTGGGCTCGCCCGCAGGCCCCGGGTCAGCCCGACACGGTGACAGCGCAGTGACTCAGCTCACAGGGTCACACAGCTCCACATCGCCTCCTCCTCCCTGCTCCAGGTTTCGGCAGAGCCCAGCCTGCACAGCACCACCGTGCCATGAGGACACAGCATGGCAGGACAGGCCTTTTACATTGCAGCAAGTGATTCATAGAGTGGCAATGGAAACACCTGGCTCTTTTTACTGTAAATAAAATAACCTTAGGTCAGTGATTCTCAGTTCTGCTTTTTCTTGCCTTGACGTCTCTGCAATTGCCTTGAAAACATCTGTTTTCTGCGAAGCTACAAGAAACATCCACCCCGCCACCACCTGCCAGGCTCCCGGGCTCCGAAATTTGGACTTCAAATCAACTGAGCTAAGGCGGAGGCTCGAAAACGTTGATTTCACACCAGTATCCTCAGAGGTCACAACAAATAAATTTTTTTTAAAAGCTGCAGAACTGCTCTCAGAGCTACAAGCCCTTGGAAGAGCAGCAGCAGCAGCATTTGCAGCTTGCCATGCAGTAGGTGGGGAGGACCAAGAGCCTGTCTGCTCCTCCTGTGCCGAAAAAAGGTGTTTCCTCTCTCTGCAAGGCTTCACAGACTGCCACAATGACAACTCTTTTGCATTAGTCAAACACTGTCAGGTTCAGGCAAAACTCAAAGGATTCTGTTAAATCGCATACGCACAGTAAAGGTTCAATGAGTTTCCTGTTATTCCAGTGAAGTTCAAAATTTGCAAAGTGAGTTTCTAAACTTTAAGGAGAGGTGCCCACTACAGCCCACACTCCCAGGTGAAGCAGTGCAACAGCAGCTCCTGACAGACAGAGATCTCGGGCCACCCAGCCCTGTGCAGCAGCCCTGCTCAGTTTAAATGCCACGGCTGTTCGCAGTCAATTCTAATACTCAACCACCAGCCAGGGAATTAAGCTTCGGTAAACAGTAATTTTCAAATATCATCAATGCGTCAAAACTCACCTCCTCCCCTTTTTTTTTTTCCTTCTCCAAAACAGTAGTATCTGCTGAGCACTCTGCAACTAGAAAATTTCATGGCAAAACACACTCCCACCTCATAATTACAGGAAAATGTGCAAGGGAAAAAACACAACCCCAAAAACATTCAATTCTGTTTTTTACAGCTATTACAGCTAAACCCAGGAAGGGAAACAAACACTTGCACTCTGCAGGGGCTCAGAAGTAGCTGGTGCAGAGCAATTACTTCTGCTGAAGAGTCTGAAATCCCCTTTGCTCCAGCAAAGGGGAAGTGAGGTGGGGGAGGTTTTTTGGCTTGATACGGGCAGAGGAGCACAGAGGAGCATCCGTGACAGCTCCAGTCTGTGATGGCGCAGGCAGAGACACAGGCACGGCAGCCTGGAGAAATTCTCCTCATCCAGAGCCTGCCCAGCATCTGTTGGCCATGGCCTCTTGCCCCCACACCACACCAGGGTTCTCCTGACCTGAACCTAGTCTGGCTTCCTGTTTTTCACACTTCAAATTGCTGGTCCTGGACTCTGTACATTTCTATCTATATACACAAAACAAAACCAAAAAGCCCCAAACCCAAGCCACAGTGAGATTTTGCTTGATTTCTGGTATGCGGAAGCCACATGTTCTCAGAGCATGCTTTCAGCTCTCCCCCTTAGAAGGCTGCACCATCCAGCCTTGAAGGTTCCTGTTTTGATGAATTTATGGACCAGCTCTCAGAAAACTCCTCTGGAAGACAGGGCAAAGTGACACTGCCTTTCTCCTGAGCCAGCAGCGACCAGAAATGCTTTGGAAAGGACACTAAGCCATGTCAGAAGAAAAGATGAAACATTTCATATCCCTTTAACTAAGCCAGCTGAAATGAATGCCAGTGCTCTAGCAAGGTGTGCAAAGGCAGGTGGACAGACCTGCAACATCAAACCTTGCCAGGGCACTGAAGGCAGCAGGCAAAGTCCCTCAGGGCTTCTTGAAGCATTAACTACTAAACCCTAACTACACATGCAGGCATGGACATTTCTTTAAACAACAGACCACCACCAAGGCCAAATACTAGACATCATTTACACTAACTGAGCATTGATAGGAAAAAAAGTGTCTTTACAAGAAGTAACTTTGCGCCGATCTGAGTAAGCAACACGTAAGTAAGTAAACCTCCCACACCCCCACCTTCTGGGTGCCTTTTAGAAACAGAGATCTTTGCAAGTATCCCCAAACAAGCTGTTCTCATTTCCCATCTTCCCAGAAAAACAGGCTGCAGCACTTGGCTACCTCTGAAGAAATAGAGAGCAGAGAGCTTTAGTATCATCCATACCACCGGAGATGCAATCGAGGTGATGACATCCCCACTGCTTCACTGTTATTGCATCGTAACACCAGACATCCTGAGCACCAGATCTTCTCACAGAGAACTCGATAGCAAAAGGATGAGGCAACAGCTGCCTGCCTGGCCTTGGTTTTGTCTGTACAGTTAATCACAGCTGCAGTTAAACACCAAATATATATCTGCCTCTGACCGTTCCTAAGCAACTACACCGACTACTTAGGGATGAGTTTGTCAAATCAGTCCCTGAAAAGCTTAAAAAGATCTTGAGGAGGGCAGGAGGGAAAGTCCTTGCCTAGCTCCATGCAGGACTGACTCCACCAGCACATGTCCTTTCCCACCATGGTGATTTTACGGCATCTTCTTGTCAATGTTGTGTGATTCTGGCTTGCAGGCAACAGGGCCAAGGATGGTCTGGTCTGTTAAAAAACACCACCTCTCATGGGAGAGCAGGGCAGGAGCAGAGCAAACCCAAACCATCGAACTGGGAGTGGAGAAGACTTTTTGGCCAGAAAGACAGCATCACAAACGGCATGCTATGAACACACCTGATGCAGGTTAAAACTTTCTTCCCCTGTGCTGTTGCCAACAACAACAAAGAGCAAAGGATAAAAATATATAATTTTGACCATCCTTTCTGACCCAGAAAATGGTATTTTTCATCTGCTATCCCCCTTTCAGAAAATATACATCACATCAACATCTGGGATTCCGTTTCCCTTGGGACACCCATTCCTTTCATTTTTTCCATACTATTCTCACATTTACACAACGTAACAAAATGTAACCAAAAAAGTCCCTGCAATAAACTACTATTTTCTCTGGGACACCCCTGCACATGCTGGTTAAGCCAATGACATGTGCTACAAGGGTGAGCAGCACTGCTCCAACAACCAAACCTGCTGTGGAAAGCAAGCAAGCAGCACAGCAACACTCCAATGCAGCACCTCACATCTGGAAGGGGATCCCAAATTTTCTTCCATTACCAACCAGCCATCACACAAGCTTTGTTCTAGGTAACACAAATACACCACACAAGGATTTATGACACACCAAGCTGCTTGGCTCTTTTATGTGAGAATAGAAAATAACATTTAAAGTTCTGGTACAAAAAGTTAACTGAGATCAGCCTCTCCCACCTGTACAGTCTGTTCCAGGCAGGTAAGAAACAAGTGTTAGGACAAAGCCCAAAGTAGAACCAGTCTGAGTAGAAGTAGGGAAGAAACCTCAGAAGGAAATGCTAAGGAGAAATGGGAAACAAAGAGTTTCTCAAGTTGCTGGAGTTTTAATCAGTGTTAAAAAAAAAGCATAAAAGAGAAACCCCCAAACCTGGCTGTCAGCCCCAAGGACCCAGAAAGAAACTTCTTTCTCAACAGTCAAATTCAACAAAGGTCTTTCCTTACTTCCCACATTTTATTTACTATATTATTTCTGTTTAGGAAGCCCTTTGCTTTGCATAGCAAATGAGCTGTGTTATTTACACTATGCTCATCACCAAGATCCAAGTGTCCTGTAAAGTACATTAACAGAAGTCAGCAAAATCTGACACCACAGAGATTTTTATTTTTCTGTAATTAGTCCTCTCAATTATAATATTCATTCCATGGTGAGTAAGGCCAGGACCAGCATCATCTCCTAATATATTATTAAATCAGTTTTGCCGAGAAGGAATCATATTATTGAGTTTTTACACTGGTGGAGTAACTGTTCAACCACAGTTGTGTACCAGCAGTTCAGCAGTAACACGATGTTCCATTTCTCAAAGCACCATCTGCATTAATAACATTCATTCTCAGTAGCATATTTACAATATGATATTGCTCTCTTAATTTACAAAAACCTTCATGGACAATACGGATTAATTTTGCAGATCCCTTCTCATCACTTGTCTGCAGCAATAGGATTCAGATTCCCTGAAGTCACCTACTTCAACTCCATACTCCCTGGCCTAGCAGAGCTCCCAACTGCCCTGAACTGGTAGCTTCTTGCTCTTCCCCCACTCCATTTCCAGGATGTAGATGCTCCCATGGCTCACATACCAGCAGCAGGGGTACAACAAAGGTTCCATCCAAGCAATTTCTTTACCCAGAAAGAGGCGTACAAAGATTTCCTGATCTTTTACTAGGGAGTCTTGCCTTTTAACAAAACTACAGTCAAATGCCTTATTTAAAAGCCTTATTTAAATGCCTTATTCCAAGTTATAAAAACTGTGCACACTGGAGGGCATTCTGAGTGTCTTTAAGCACTTCCACACCGATGCCAGAAGTGACACTCTCACTGCTGGCACAGTGGATGTGTGGAAACAGAGGGACTCCTCTGCTCTGCAGTGTGTTTCTTCCACTAAGGAATGGTGGAACTGCAGAAAGGAAGCAGCTATGACCAACATCATGGCTTGGGGTCCACCTTACTCCAAGTTCTCTCTCATCCCCCTCTTCTTCAGGATTTTCTAGGATTGCTCCCCACCTGTATGAGGCATCTTAGCCCTCAGCCTCAGCATTACAAAAGAACAAGAAAACCCAATCCCCCGTTTCCATACCTAAGAGAAACCCCAGCTCTACTGCTGTCCCTCTGTGCCTTCCACACATCCCACTTGTTCTCTTCTCTCCTTGAGGCCTGCAGCCTTCCCAGGCACTAAGATGCTTCAGTGGTCAACGGCAGCCACCACGAAGACGTTCAGCTCATGAATATTGTGTTGGCAGTAACACTCCTTTACTCTCCAGATGGTCCACCTCACTGGTCTCACAACTTTCTATGACTCCACGTGCACTCAGAAAGACAAAAAAAAATACACAAATTGTTTTGCTGTTGTTGTTGGGTTTTTTTTGTAAAGGCTTTGTTTTTTTGCTGCCCATCAGCGCTGTCTCAGCATATTGCACAATGTTCATTATAAAAAAAAGTCTTCTGTATCAGGCAGGAAGAAAGAAAATTTTCTCAGGAGGCTAATGTGTACTATTGTCTGTAATTAGAGGTAAGTGGTTGCTTGTGTGGCCATCAGAAAGTGGGACCTAGTGAAACAAAAGCAAGGTGTTATTAATGGCTTGTCCACAAACAGAATCTCCACTCCCTCCCCCAAAAACACATACTTGGGTATTTCTTGGATGTCTTTTACCTGGTCTCTCATACAACAATTATACAAATCTGCTTACCTTCCTCCTCTCTCTCCACTCACGTAACCTTGCCAACTGGCAAACATCAACTAAATATGAGAGAAATGCAGAGATCTCAAAGGCTATCTACAGGCTTAAATAGGAAAAATAAAGTAAATTGACATCAAGTAGTTGCTAGAGGAGCAATCCTATTAATGACCAGTGAAGGGAAAGGTGAAGATAGCTCAGCTTTTTCACAGTGCTTGGCAGTAGCCTGCAGACTAATAAGGAGCACCACTGAACACCTGCAGCACACAGTGTGCCTTCTTCAGTCTGCAGGCCAAGGAGAAGAAAATGTGAAACCAAAACCAGGACAGGGAGACTGACTAGGCCTGGGAAAACATGTAATTTTTGGAGCAATATGAATAAAAAGAATAAAAATAAAAATACAATACTAAGGACAATGGAGGAAATGTAGGAGAAAAACCTCCACGAGACTCAGCTGCATTGATTCAGCTTGTTTCCTTGCTTCCTTATGTTTCAGGTTTTCTGACTGTTTTTAAAAGCTGTTGAATCTGTGCTCATATGCATGTCAAGGGAGAGTTTATTGCCAACATCTTAAAACTTCCTGAGACCAAGTCCAAAGCTGACCTCATCATCCATCCTCAGCTGTACCACTTAATACTTAGAGGAAGTTTTCCTTACCGATGTGGATTTGTAAGAGCCCAGCCTGAAACGGCAAAAAATAATTTCTGCTACAAATCTTCCAAAGCCATGTAAAATTCCTGCAATGTCAAACAAGATTTAAATTGTCATCAGTAGTAAAAATGTATTATCTATGGAAGCATTACAACAAAACTCTACACAGAATACAGTGCAGTAAACCTGTACATAAAGCACGGAGAAATTAATATACGAAAAGGAAACATCAAGGGCAGGGGAGAATTCTAACATTCTGAAATGCATTGAGAAAAGTAAAGCTATCCAAGTAAATGTCACCCTCTGCCAGCTTTCATGGGTGAAAATACATTCTGTGGGACAGAAATATCTGCTTTGAAAGGCAGCTCTTAGTTCAAGGTCTCTTTACTAAAGCTCTCTTCAAATGAGAGCCAAGAAAAAAAATGACTTGTGATCAAGATACCCTATTATGTCTTGACTAGTAAGTGGATTGTGCCTTTTCAACTTATTTTCTTTGAAGGAGAAAATCCTGCAGTGCATTGACAACAAAAATCCTCCCAATTACTTCAGATGGAAATTTTATCTCAACTTTTGTCACTGATTTAACAGTGGATCCCAGCTAAAGGAACTACACAGAATATCAGAAGTCAGGATGTATCTGTATGTATGTGTGTGTGTATATATATACACACAAACACATATATATCCTTGCTCTTCCAGAAGAAAATAAACTATGCTATAGTTATCAGAAAGGAAACAACAGGCTCTCAGAACAGCAGAAATGCCATACTGGGACACTGAAACTGAGTAGCTTCCATGGCACATTTCGGTGCACACAAAATAAGCACTTCATCTTAAACCTATTAGAGGTTCAGGACTCCCCTGTAATTTATCCATAACAATCACCATGAAAAAAACCCAATTCTGATAGAACTTAAGAGGGAAGGCTCTGATAATCACCTGTAGTTGAAAAAATTCCCCCAATAATGCCACAGAGCCTCACTAAGAACTGCCAAAAAGGCATATGTTCTTCTGTCACTGTCACCATGAGTGAACTGATATCATATTTCATGAATATTCCTGACACCCCATGGCTGCCAGCTGCATGGTTAATTACTCTTTCCTGAAAGAAAAGAGAGAAACACAAATTAGTCACTTGTTATTAGTCACAAGAAAACCCGTCTTACTAGATGTGGTAACAAAGAGCTGTTTAATCAGAATTAGCAATCAACAGAAGAGCAGGGAACATCAAGGTAACTTTGACCAGTACCTTCTAAATGTCAAATATCATTAAGTAAAAGTTTACTTTCCGGGTCACTGGTCTTCTGTGCTGCATATCAGTGTTCACTATCATACTCTGGTACTTTCTCCCAGGACTTGCTCACATGGTCCTTTAAACAAGGATGTTTATAACTGGATTGTTTTCAGTACCTGTGATATAAGTGCCACAGTCTTGGTCTGGCCTGTGAACTCAGGGGACTGCACTGGTATAACAAGGTGCTGCAACTCTTCCTTTATCCACTGCTATGAATGACACCAGGGTGAGACCTTCAGGAGACATTTCAGTTGTTGTACAGCCTTGACTACGGCAGTTTCCCCGGAGGGTGTATATAAATCATAGAATACCAGGTTGGAAGGGATCCTGAGGATCTTCCTTGGCAAAAGCCTCTTTTCAAAATTTTTGTCTGTTATGTCATTTCAGACAAGTCACACAGCAAAAAATGCATCTCAATAAACAGAAACCCCAAACTCACTAGGACTACCGGGCATCTCAGTCCTAATCCAAGAACTTCTGCAGTTTCTTTTCATTTGGTCAAATTCTTATACCAAAAGACCCCAAACATGACAGTGTGGCTGCTATAAATACCTACTTTTTAAAGGAGAAAACACCTCAACACAGCCTTAAGCTTCTTTCAAAAGTTTGCTGTCCTTTTGTTGTTAGGGAAAGGTGTTGAAAAATACACTAACAAGTATGTCAGACTGAAAATATATCAGGGGAGCAGAAAAGAACATAACTGACTGAAGACAAACTCAGCCATGTCCAAGTTAATAAGAACAGAGAAGACAAGACAAGTAGGACTGAACAGAAAAGCAATATATCACAGCTCCATTTCATTTGTAGGTTTAACACTGTGCTCAGAAACCGTGCAGAATACAGTACAAAATAAAAAGCAGAACACCACTTTGTTGAGATAGCAGAAAAAGCTGGTTTGTGTCAGTGTTAGTTGACTGAAGAAGTTGCCTGATCTGTACTTTTCAAAGTAAAAAGGAATCAAAATAATGTATCAGTAATGATACCAGGCCACAAAAACTTCACAATGGTTAAATAACAAAATGTAGAATGCGTTCCATATTTCAAAAGCATGACAACAGTCAGCATTCAAAGACAGATGATGAGGCACACCAAGAAGGAAGACTGAAGGTAGTTAAACAGATCCTTGCCATTGGCAAGTGACACAAAAGCCTTTGTACTGTTTGTTTTCCTCTGTTGTTTCCCTAAGCCTTACTGGTCTTTTGAGGTCAAATGGTAAAAAAAGAATATGAAGTTAAATAGAACACACAAAATTCCATCCTCAAAAGATACAGAATTCTTTTTCTGCAAACCATTTTGGTCTGCTTCCAGCTTCTACTGCTGCAGATTCAACTTTTGATTGCTAAAACCTGCTGAAAATAACTAACCCTGCATCAGATAGCTTAGTGAAGCCTTGCTAGAATTAAATCTTTTCGATATAGATAAACACAGTATCTCAAACACCAACAACAGCGGAGATGATTCTGCCCACACCTTTCAAACTCTGTTTCCCCATCTGCTCACCACTGGTAATTAAACTTCACTGCATTCAACTTCTAGCCATGCCTGCCTGACCACCTTTTCCCACATCTGCATGTATCTCTACTCTCATAAAATAAGTGCACTAAGTTGTTCAGTCAATAGCTGTTCTTAAAAGCCTTCTCCAGCTTATCTGCTAGGAATATTTGGTGTCCTTAGATTAACACAAATAAGCTTTACAGGGCTATCTACTGAGCAAGAGCAAACAAGTACATAATGCCACTTTACCTCTGCTATTCCAAGCTTTTCCATTAAGAAACCTGTGGCTGTTGCAACTTTCATAAAAATAGATCCCCACAAAAAAATAAAGAGCTAACTTAGACTGGAGAGGTAATTGATAGTACCATCTTTACAGCAGGAGGAGAGAAAAACTGAATACAAGATAAAAAAAAGGAAAAGTGTCTAAGACAAACTTACAGATGTCAGTCAACAGCTTAAGGAATGCCTTGGTTGTTGCAGAGATTGTGCAGAGAAAACACAAAGCAGATTGCTAGAGCAGCAGGAGGTGGGGTACACTGCACTATGAAATTCCTCTTCATTCCTCTCTGTAGTCCAGCTTTCGTGAGTTTCAGAGTGAACCTTTCCCTTCAGTGGTCTGCATGTCCCAAGCTGAACACCAAGACATCACCTCTATCCTACTTCCCCTACCTGTATATTTTTCAGAAGCATAACATGGAACTGTAAGGAAATAAAAACTTTTTCTCCCTTGGAGAACACCACAAGCTGTAATTCAGTGAACTGCCACTCTAATCCCTGAATTTCCTTTCAACCCAAGGCTTCTTTCTCACCTCTTGCTTTATCAGTCATTTTTAATTAAATTTTTTACAGAGATTTTTTTCTTTGGCTTTTGAATAGAAGATCAAAATCAAGTTCAGTCTCTGAAAATAAGACATGTAAGCACTACACCCAAAGCTTTTTTCCTATTTACAGCAATCTTTAAAATTAGTACTATGCTGCACTAACTATTTTCAGTATGGATTCAGAATTAAATGAAGTGGAAGCTCTCTAGTCTTGAGAGTAATTAAAATTGATGGTTCAACAAAGGGTAAACAAGAGAGCTGAGACATATACTGTTAGATTAGTTTTTCATACAAACTACCTTTGTTTCCATTTCTTACACTCCACAACCAAATTCATGATATTCACGTGAGCTGCATTTTTTGTTTGCCTCCCACATGGATAAAAAGCTAATGGTAGATTAAATATTTGCAAGGCTACAGACTAGGTTACAGACCTAACACTTGGAGGGTTTCACCACCACCACTATTAGCATCCAGTGAAGTGGAAACTACCAGATTATCATTAATTCTAATATCAGACTCCAGATCTACAGATGCAAAACGCTAATGCAAGAAGTTTGCACATGTCACCAAGCACATATATATTTCACCATCAGTACTGTATGACTTACAGACAAATCCAGTGTGCTAGAATGTTCTAGAAAGAGTCTCTTCACTCTAGAGGAATTTTCACAACCATGGTACAACCAAGTCTCTGTTTTCACATTTGAACTTCTGTTACGAACAACCACTTCTAGATTTTTCTCTCCATGTTTTTTTATTACTTCTACTTACCCTTTCTGTCACTGAGAATTGATGAGTTTCTGCTGAAATTTTATACGTATGGAGTTTGGTTGGCACAACTGTGATAAAATACTGGAACATCTGGTTGTCTAGAAGAAAAAACATCTCACTGTTGAATCAAATAGAGAGTCAAAGACCATCTGAGACATTCACAAATAAATCAAAGAAATAATATTAAAACAGTTAATCAGCTAAGCCATTTACACTAGGGACATTCTTCCATGAGTCCCAGCACTGCCAAGACTACTTCAGCACCATCTGCATGAACAAAGTTAGTTTCCATGGATAAGGCATATGTCCCAATTGTACTCAGAGAAATTTAGATTTTACCCATGTAATGAAAAGACTCATTAAGGTCAGGCCACTCAAAGCTTCAAATGAAACACACAGGTAGTGTTTTCTAGGGCACTAGAGCAAGTTTCACACTGTCATATTTTTCATGATATATACACATCTCACAGTGGTCTCAGTAGATTGAATTGTATATAAAATGCTGGAAGCCCTTCTAAACTGGTTATGGTTTTTCTCTTGATTAGACTTTTGGAGAATTCTTCTTGAGCAATCAGCATTATCGTGCATTTATGATTGCTCTGTGCAATTCCCTAGAGAACAAACACCAACAGACTGCAGCAACTTGTTTTAACTACACTAAATCATTCTGGTTGTACCAGCCAAGGGACTGGCTCTGAGACAACAGCAGCTGTAGAAGGTTCTGGGGATCACTCTCACAGGTAACATCAGCGACAGGATGAGGCAGGTTATTACTCTCCTTTATTCATACAGGAGGAAACAAAGTGATACACAAATCCATCCTGTAGTAGCCTCACGAAACACACTGTGGGAGACGCAACCCAAATACAGGAATAGAATCCAAGACTCCTGGTGCTATTTTTTTAAATCAAATCAGACTTATTTTTCCCCATTATGACAACAATCAGATCTATGATTCTCCACTGTAACATACCCCTGCAAAACGCTTTGCAGTGTGTTCAGACATACTGTAATTTCAACATAACACAAACCTGGAAAAAACTGCAAATCAGCTTCAGGGAAACAGCAGAGTACAGTGATGCAGATATTGAAAAGAAATGTCCATTTAAATGCCATGTAGATAAATTAACAGGGCATTGCTCACTACCAAATTTAGCCTGACATGCTGCTTATAAATCACAACATTCATGAAAAAATTATAATATTTTAAATGTAACTATTGGGAAACTATAGAAAACAATATGCTTTTTTAAACACACAACACTTACGATCGGATGCAATTTTTTCTGTTCCATCCAAAGGATTAATAATTCCTGGAATAAGCTCTCCAAATGACAAATGATCTATTCTATGGGAGAAGTTATAAGCTGAAAGATAATACAGAGGAATGAAACATTTTTAAACTACGAGATTCCGTACTTAGAGAAAAATATTCACCCATTTCTCATACTGACATATTCTAACTAATGCATTTACCAAACATGTTACTGGATCTGTGCCTGTGACTACACCAATATATCTACACACGCTTCAAAGAAAACTCAAATCCAAAATATTTAACAAAAAAGATAAATTTCTCTAGAAAAGAGCTCTAAACTAAATTACTACTCTATTTTAAACAATGCCAGAGCTGAACAGTTATAATTTGATGACAGAGAATTTCTAGTTGGCCAAATACTTAAATTATTCTATAATTCAGGTTCTTGTATGCAATGGCATATAAAAAGACTAAAATTTCATAAATCAAATTTACAGAGAAGTATAAGGCAGTTTCCAAGATACTACACTGCCTGATTTTACAAAGGTATTTAAGATCTATAATACAGTTGTGTTAACATAAATTCATGGGCAGACATTTAGAGGTTTAAGCAACCTTTACTGGTTTAACCAAGTTAATTTTTCACAGTGAATCACCTTTGTCTCACATTAAGTAAGGCAGCAACACACCTTTAGCATCTAGACTCATAATCCAAAAATTAGGTTTCTAGGGACAAAGCTCAGAAATTTTTAACCTTATAAAAAGATTTTCCAGGAAATAGGTACTTTGGACTGAAATACAGGAATTTTACATGGCATTTGTGTTACAACAGAGTACATCTGAGATTTCTGTGTTATCATTACTGTAGAAGCAATCTAAAGATAATCCTAATAGTGTTACATGTATAAAAGAAAGTCGCTGCTGAGTCAGATCATTGAAGAGAATATTCTTCACTGTTTTTTACAATGCAATTGCACAGCTAGAACATCTTTGCAACAGGAACTTCACATGAATTAGGAGACAGCAGTCTGACTGAAATGATACATGTTCGTATGGAGATGACAGAAGGAACTTACACTCATGGCTTACAAGGGCTGCCAAGTGTGCATGGCCTCGAGGGTGTGGTATTGCCCTAAAGAAAGCAAGAAATGTTTTACAAATCCACACAGGACTATGTAGAAAAATTACCTTTCCTCCTCTATTTCAATAAATATTTTATCTCTATATAAAATATGTATTTATGCACATATGTATAACATATATATGCTTAAATATATGTAATATATATATGTTTTAGAAACTGATATCTATAAAAATTGAGTATATCTATATAAAAACCAAACGTGACAGTTTTATTACTGCCAAGTACAGACAGCCTGAACAGTAAGTTAAAGAAACCCTGGACTCAGAAAAACCCTCTTACAAAAAATTACTGTCTTTCATTTTTAGAAATATCAAAACCACATCAATTGTGCTATTAGAAGAATCACCAAGTTCTACTCCACAAAAAACTGCAGAACTGTTCAAGTGACTAACAAAAATTTGACCATATTTGTTCCATGACTAAGCAAGTTAACTGCACTCTGCATTTGCTCTCTGACAAAGCAAGCTTCAAGAGTTTCCATCCTGTAAGACATGGAATTCATAAAAACTACATTACACGCAACAATGCACTGCACTGCGTTGTTTCAGGAAATATGAAGAAATTTAATTGTGCAAGAAAAGGTATTACATGGAAAAAAATATCAATCATGAGTACAGAAAGGCTAATAAAAACCAGTCACTGATTCTGAAATATAAAAGCACAAACAAATAAATACATACATGCACTATACAGAATGTAGAAGTCAAAGGGGTTTTTATTTTCAGGAATTGAACAGAACATACTTGCCCACAGTTATGTGAAAGTTCCCTGCCACTTTATTGACATAGAGATGACCATGAATTCTGCATGCATCTGGAGACTGCAATGAATTATCTTCCCTGTTTAAGTAAAAACAATATTGAGAGTACTCGAGAATATTCACTGTCTAGCAGAAATAACAGCAGTACAGTTAGATTTCCTTTTCCTAGCAAAAGATACAGCATTATCATCTACCTCTCCTTACTGTATTCTTCTGGAATTACAGGAGAGATGTGGAAGGGAGGAAAGCTAGTAAAGGTCAGTTTGACGAAACCAATAAGCTTTCATCCCTACTTGTATTCACAGATCTGGCCTACAATGCTGGCTTACAATACCTGAACAAGTGAGCAGAAAACATAAGACCATAAGTACATCTTGTTGCCCTGGGGCTTTTTATTTTCCCACTTCGACCAAAAATGGCTCATTGGGAAAGTTTTAATGCTACAATGAACAGAACCAAATACGTTCTGGTCACATTAACAACACTGCAGCAAGAAAAGCTTTTAACAGTTATTTTTTAGGAAACCTTCCTCTCCCCACTCTTGTTGGGGAGTCCACAACTCAGAACATATTTACAAATCTGCTCCTTAGAGGGAGATGAAAAAAGAACTTTTTTTTTTTAATACATCTCCAGCATAAGTACCACTTCAAATACTACACTAACAAGTAACATAGAAGCAAAGAAGGATTTAATTAATCTGAAGACATCAAGCAAATGGGGAAAAAAAAAGATTTTTTGAGCTGTCTTTAGGCTCACCTTCAGAAGAAAGAATGTATTTGGTTCTCATACAGGCAGATTACAACATGAGAAGTGTGTAAGGCAGTTTTGGTGTTTGTTTTGTCTTACTCAGTTTTTTGTTTTAGTGGTGCTTGGGGGTTTTTTTTGTGCTGGTTGTTTGCTTGTTTGTTTTTAAGGGGAGAGAATTTCAGCTTTCATTTGGAAAGCATTTTCCCTTGGGGAAAAAATAATTTAAAAAATCATATAGCATTTAGATTCTGCTTGGCAGACCAAGCATTCCATGCATTAGTCTCTCAGCATTTGTGGATAGCTGGAATCAAGTGAAAATAGCAAGGCTTCTCTACATAACCTCAACTGTGCTACCTTAGACACAATTTACTAACAAAACACATTTGTACTCAAAGGTTGATTCTTTTAAAACTATGAAGTTTAAAGTCACAGCAATGTTTTTAAAAGTTGCTGAACAGAAAGACACTTTAAAAAAAAGACTCATTTAGCATTGCTCTGGCATTACTAGTTCTCATTAAGAAGGAAGCATCAGACAAAATGGAATAAAAGAAGTGTGTGCATGTATTTCTTTGTGTCTCTGTATCAGGCATACAGATATATGTATAAGTATACACACAAAACCCAGAAACTTTCTCCAAACTGGAAACCCCAGACTGGAAACAACAGCTCTCAAGCTGTATCAAGCAAGTATCAAGCATACTATTTTAAAATGCATCCAAAAGCAGTGACATCTTCTTTTCCTACAACCTTGTCTTCTGGGGGCAAGGGGGGATCATAACCACAATAAAATGTGAAGTCTCATTAATAGGGTCGGGGGGAGGGTGGAATAATGACCCAAAATCCCAGTTTTTCTTACCGTGGTGGCAGTGCTGTAGAAGCACTTTTAAATGCACTTTTGAATATCACATCTTGAAGAGAATGTTCTTCCTGCAGTCTACTCTGAATTAATTGCAGCATCCTAAAGATCAGAGACAAGAGTGAAAGCATGCAACAATAAAACAAAATCTGGCTTCACAATCAATTATTAGCTTCAGCTGCAGGTTGCAAATCAAGAAGTTAGCAAAGCTGATGTAAGTATTAAAGCATTACTTTATTAGAAGTACTAATGCATAACTTTTGCATTACTTTATTAGAAGTACTGAACCATAATTTTCAGAATGATGTTTTATACAGAACTTAAAGCAGTGTGTTACCAAAATATCAAAACTAGCCAGACTCCCAAATAAGTTTCAGTTCTATTACAAAACTATCAGTGTATAGGGCATACACAACACCAAGCTATCACAGTTTAAATGATGAACAGTGAGTCAATTCAGTTATATAAATCACTCAAATTCTTTTGGTTTTGCAACGACATGCCAATTTGTTACTACAGCTCAGCTTGGACATTTAGATATCTGTTTTATACATTTGATACCATAATTATAACTTGTGCTACCAAGCACTCATTTGGAAATATAAGCTGAGTGAGTCCATACATCTTGGCTTGCAAATGCATGACCCAATTCCACAGATAAGTCCAAAGCCAATTTTTTTCCATACAGAGGTTTCAAACAATGAGAAAAGCAAAGTAAGTAGTATCTTTTCACAGGTTTGTGCTCCTAAATTACAAACAAGAGTGGTTAGACCCAAGACATAGTTGTGTCATGTGACTCTGGTGTACCTCAGGATCACTTCCAGTACAAATAATACAAGCCATAAGCATGCATCTCAGTGGTTTACCTTTGCAATTCTTTTTGTTGTGGGGTGAGATCAAATACTACCTGAAACAAAAATAACACCTCTAATAAAACACAGAGAAAACTTCTTTCCAGGAAACCCAGAAGAAAACTGGGGTGTGGGAAGGGTTGGGGAGTTATAATCAACTTCACACTTAGTACTTCTAAGGGAAGTTTATGAAAGGACTTTGCACTTTAAGTAATACATTTAGTGTTTAAGTATAAAGAATTCTGTCCCTTTCAAAAGTTGTTCACTTGCCTGCATTTATAACTACAGCGTCTTTTCCTAAAGCTTTCCTAACTTGAGTCAGCAGTCACCTTCTCACCTTTGACTAACAGGGACTAGAAGCAGTGAGCAGCAATTTAATTCTAAGTGATATAACTGATTTGCATGGCTTTGATGCAAACAGCAGTAAAACAAGCAGAGGAGCAATCCTTGAAAGCCAAGGGTCCAGGTGCAGATTGTTTATTTCTAGGGTCATCCCACATAAAGCACTAAAGACAAGCTACCAGACCTGCTAAACTTCATCAGCACAGGAGTATCACCAGTAACCTCTGCACACAGACTTCAAATCTAAGTATTGGTTAACACTAATGTACTCCAGGCAGCAAATTCAATTGCAATTAATGCTCAAACATACCCAGAAGCTATGGCCAAGAGATCAACTGCAACCTCTTTCTAAGAGGTTGGAGAAAAACACCACACGCAAGCAAACCAGCCCAGCAGTGCTTCACACCAGGAGCAATTTAATTTTCAAACAAAAAAAGGTAAGAATCAACTTACTGGCTCATAGATTAGCCCATCTGCAGAGGCAACCATTGTTTCTGCTAAATCCAGAACATCAGCCCCCACATCTGTTTGAAACAGAGAGAAATATTAAGTCACACAGATGATCAGAGACCAACAAAAAAACCCCCTTCCAAGTCGAAAGAAAGCTTCACAGTACAGTGGTAAACTTCAGTATGTCATTGTTTCTTCAGCCTATCTAACCTTCAATTTGAACTGATGCACAGTGACCAAAAACTCTTCAGATATGCAGTATTTTCTCACTGAAGTAACACCTACAGTGATGTTGTACAAACCACACGTACAAGCTTTCTAGGATCTGCTATGCATAAATATTTTCTCCTGTTTTACAAGTAGTGAATAGAAAGCAAGACTAGTCAAAAAAGGAAAAAGTTTTGTTTATTTCTAAAAAAAAAATAAAAATAAACCTATGTACCATACAATTACTGCAAGGTTTAAGCTAACCAAAAAATATGAGTCCCGAAAATTTGCTTGCATTCCTGGTAGAAGTAGTATTCTCTTCTTTCTCAGTCCAAGACAAGCAAGACCACTGCATAAAAATAATGGTTCATTTGCTAAATGATGTCAAAATAACAGTAAGCATTGCCTTTAAATAGGAAGGCATCCCTCATATGTTCATGAGGAGGATGAAATTACTTGATGGTTTCAGTATTGTTAAACACTAGACCAGGTTAATATATCCCAAGTTCATAAATAAATAAAAGTTGTTATAAATTCCTGCTGCTGAGTTGTGTCTCACAATGAGCTTTTAGAATATTCCAGCAAGAGAGAGTGGAACAGCTCTGTGAGATGCGAATGAGATGGCACAGATACTTTTCTTCACATCTCTTACCAATTTTTTCAGTGAGTCATAAGCCATCAAGATCACTACATGCCATCAAGATCAGAAAAAAATCACACTGGTAGAATATTCTGAACACTCTCCAACTATATTGCAAGCAAATGCATACTCTGAAGAGGCCTTAAAATGTTTCAAAACTTTTACTGATGGAATACTTACACTGACACCTCATGGCAACTGTAATATCAATATTGATTCTTAATTTACTGGAAAAAAAAAGGCAAAAAGCTATTAAGTCACATTGAGTACAAGCATCAAGAGACATACTGCTAAAAATATCAGAGTACTTGCAGAAACATAGTCAAATAACAAAATTTACACCAACAAATATAAATTTAATCTGTTCAACATTGAAGTGAAGCTAGATGGACTTTTGGAGCACATTAAACCACTCATAACTTAAGAGATAACCTCCATCTCACCAAAAGTCTGATGTGTGACATTCCCATACATTCTGGGCATTTCCTATTGGTTTTCATGTTAGTTTAACAAAAGCAATTTAAATTATAATGAATAAACCCTGTCATTACAGTCACATGGCTCTATTACCTCCGGAGCTGCTTCTGGAACTTAGCTGACCACAAGCAAATCACGTAAGCAAGGGATTCCACACTGGCTCAACTTGGGATCAGAAAGGGTCAGCAGAGAGGAGAAAAGCAGTAACAGTGATACCAGTCTCCATTGGTTTTAACTGTCAAGAACCACAGGCTGAGTGATTAGCCCACAATCAAACCAGGAAATCTGTAGTAGGCCGTCTCCCAAATCCCATAATAGTCTCTTAACTGACAGACTACCCTTCCCATGTGATAGCTTCACTGGGGATATAACCTACTTTAGCAAAGGCCTAACTGAAACTCCCATCTGTCTGAATGGATTTACTTGAGCTTTTGATGCAGCTCCTTTAAATTTTTCATATCTTTTTCACTACAGGACCCTTCGTTATTTCTGATGTACAAGACATCCAATTAATATATCTATCTTTAGCTTGTTACCACAGCAACTAGTAAAACAGCTTTTTAAGTTATTTCAGTCCCAGACATGTGACATTTAAAGGTGCTCAGGGCACGAAATCTGCATTTATTTCACAGGGACTCATGGGTGCCTGACCACCTCTGGAAGAAAGGCAAACACAGCCCAGACAAGCACATGAAACCATCAGTAAATGTATCTTCATGGGGGCTGTAACTGGAGACAAGATCAGCAGCAACTTCCAGATAAGACAGTCAAAGTTCTGAGTGCTTCAGGTTCACCTCCAGCACACAAAATATAATGGCAACATACAAACTATATGAACTAGAGTAAGAATCATGCCAATGTGGTGAGTTTACCTAGCTGATGTGGAGTTAAGTATTACAATGTTCTCTGAATTGTTAGCAAATAATTCCTCAGGCAACTCCTTCAGCAACAAGCCTACACTACTTTGATTTCCTCATTGCAGAAATCTCAATTTATCTTCCTCATAGATTTCAGAAAAGAAAAAACCCAAATCAATCAACAGAAGAAAAATCAAGTCCCTTTCGTATTTTATTTTTAATTTCAATCATAAATTTCTTGCAAGTTACATGAACCTTTTAAATCCATTCTTCCCTGAAACATAGACAACTTAAGTTTTAAAAGGAATTACAACAAATAAAGTTACCTAGTAAAATCCTTGTCTACTTCATATTCATATTTCATCCATGTGTCCCGGTACACCATGAATTCCATCACAGTCAGGAAAGCTATTGTTGTAAATGCTATCAGAGAAACTGGTCAGAGGGAAAAAAAGGTAGAATTTTAGATTGTGAGAAATATTATTCAGAAACAAGCAGAACAAAATTCTGACATCCCAGGAATTGAGCATGACCAGTACAATGCTGGCATCTTTGATTTACAAATCCACAAGCTGCTCTTAGAAAGTTGTTTTCATATTTACCGTATTTGTTTTTACACAGGAGCGGAAAAGAACAAGTCATACCTTTGCATCAAGAAAGTACTTTTTAAGTACAGTCAAATTCTAGAATGATGAGGAGGTTGTGAAACTCCTAATATGGAACATTTAGGAACAGGCTATATCCTCCTCCACATATAAAAAGCCCACAGATCACTGTCAGGAATGGTCTAGGCAAACTCAATCCTAAACTCAAGCATGCAAGAAGAAGGTAAAGCACCTTGAAATTCCTTCAAGTCTCCCCTTGTCCACAACTTAAGTTTTTATAATAGTTTTTTTCATATCAAGTTTGAGAGTCAGGAAGCTAGCAGATAAGAGAAATAATATGCATTATATTACTTATGTATAGATGCACAGTCAGGATTCCCACCCCAATATTTTGAACTATTCTCTCTGGTGATCAGCAACACGTAGCTATCCAATTGTACCAACTGCTAAATAAGTGAAGAACTGACTTGAAATTGTTTTTAGGATGAAAACTAATTGGTTTATTTTAGTGCTGTATGTGCCTCACTTATTTCCAAAGCAGCCTATTCATCACACTTGCAAAGTTGTACAAAGCAAAGGGAAGATCTTCCTTCCTGCTGCACATAGTCAGAAACACAGTAACAGATACCCAAAAGCATCTGTGCCCCTTTTATTAAATCATGGCTTTTGTTAAGTTGAAAAAACTTCAGTTATAGAGCATAGTAGTGATTTGTAGAGCTTACTGACACTGATTACATTTTTCATTTGCATTCTGTGGAGCATTTCTATGGAGTTTGCAAAGGGCAACTTGAGAAAAAACAAGTCCATTGTTGATAGGCTTCAACTCACTACACACTGGTCCACAGGCCAGAGGTGGGAGCATGGGAATAAAGGCACAGTCCTTCAGGATCAGGAAAGAAATCATTGACTGTTGCATTGATTAGCAACATTTCCAGTTTTAGCTTTCAGCTGACACATGTAACAATCACATATATGAAAACCTTCACGTCAATGTGAACTGTGAAAGCAGATGAACTAATCATTTAATTATTCTGGCTATCAATATCCTTTTGGAGCCCAGTAGGACAGACTCTCCCCAGCCAGGTAATAGGAAAGCTGGAACCACACTGACTACCCAGAGCCACACAGGAACAATTAGAGCCATTGCTGCTTTCTGGGTAATTCTTTGTGAAGGTATCTGTGGATCTGAACAGGTAAATAGTCTTGTAGAATTTCCAAAGACAGATCCTCTTGTCTCAAGGGTCTCCCAGCTCAAGAGATGGAGTCTCAGCCTCTTTGAGAGACTGGTACTTCTTTTGTAATGGGTTTGAAGGCACTGAAATTCTGAGTCCTGGTATGTTTTGGATCCCTATCACACCAGAAAGCAAGCCTGGCATTTCAATACTGAATGAAACAGGAATACTATTTCAGATTTCATAATGGCACAGAATAAGATAATCCTATATTGTCATTTATAAAGTTACTGGGATAAAACCACAGAATGCTAAAGTAATTTCTGGTGTTGAGAAATCCTTAAGGCACCATTCACCAAAGTGAAGTTCTCATGAAGGTGCTATACTACAAAAAAAGGTCTTTTTTAAGCATTTATTTTTTTTCTCCAAATTACAACATAGAAACAACTTTCTTTCTCAGGAACTGAGACATTAACAAAGAGTTGTTTAATCACTTCTTAGGGATTATTTTATATGCAATAATCCTTTAATCATTAACAGTGCAATTCAGGAAATGTAGCAAAGTAATATGGATCCTTGTGATATTTACTTCTACACTACAAGTGGTGTAACAACTTCAAAAGCTTTGAACTTTTTACTCAACTGAGTTTCAGACAATCACACAAGAAAAAGATTTGTGTCCTCCATTTCAGACTAAGTGCTAGCAGTTTCCTGTCTAACTGCAAATAATTCCAATAGTCCAATAGTCCATATTTCCAGATAAGGCTACCTCTAACTCAGCTCAACTTAAAAGCACAGTTTTATGAGCAGATACATAAAGAAAATGTAGTTTTTACAGCTACAGCTTTTTCAGAGAAGCTCGAGTGACTAATAAGGACAGTACAAGCACATGTCCTGAAATAAAGTGTTTAGTTCTTCAAAGGGCTTTCTTTATTCTTAAAATCAACTACACCTTTAAGAAAAAAGCTTTAGAAAGCTGCTCTTCATCCTGATGTTCAACTTATCTGCCTCTGGAGAATGTTTTTCCTCTTTTACAAAAGCACAGTGTTGAATCCCACCATCATTTCAGTTCACGCTCAGTCTCACCCAGAAACCTGACACCAAGAAAAGGGCTTAGTAAGACAACAAATGAGAACATTTTATGACAGCCTTGGCACAGTGCACTTCCGGTTGTAATGGGGTAGAAGTTTTTACAGTGAACCTTCAGATTGGATTGACTCTCACCAGCTTTATACAAAAATCTCCCTTCAGATGAGTGATGGATGCATCTGTCTGAATAAGATATTATGTATTTACTTGAAGGGGATGAGCTCAGACAGTCCAACAAAGAAATCAAAAACCAATTTTGGCTAGTTTCAAGTGAACACAGATGCCTGTCTTCCTCCTATTGAAGCTGCTGTCAATGTCAGCATCTCAACAAGGCCTACCTGTGCCTCCACTCGCTGAAGTCTCCACATAGCTTTCAGGAACCTTTGGAAAGGCATCCAATTCTTTCATCAAATTCAAGGTCTTCTTGCGATTCAGTCGCCTCATCTTCAGCACACTCCTCCACCTCCTCCTTCATATATTCCCTCTGATTTGAGAATAAATTGTTTTGATTAAAAGACACAAGCAATACTGCTCAAACTGACTGGCTATAATTATAAAGTGATAATAAGGCAATTAAAACCTCATAAATATGTTTTCAAGAAACACATACTAGACAACTGGATGGTCACTCTTGCTTCAAGAAAATTGTTAAAGTTGGTCTGAAGACTGCTGCTTACATTCCAGCCACATCCAGCACATTCACCATTTAATTACTATGATTAATTTCGTTCTCCATGAAGTTCTGATTGGTAACGAATATACTGAATTTTAAACTGATTTAAAAAAAAAAAAAAAAAAAAACAAAAAACCTCCACTAACTCAGTCCTGAAGTAAGCTTACTAAACAGACCTGACAATGCGTGGAGCTCACTGATTTAGCAGGAAATATCTAATAGGCTGCATAAACTTGGGAGGATGTCAGCCTGCTCTGGGCCCCTATATTCAGCCAATGTAGGCACAAACTATATCCTAAAGGAAAAAAAAGAAGTGTATTTTGCATTTTTACAGCTGTAGAATATTATTATTATCATAAAATGAGCAATTTTTTTCTCTATAAAAATACCTCCCAAATCAAGTTACGTTATCAAATCCTAACTCCATCTTTCATAATCATTTCTGTCCATTACATGATCTCCACTCTCTTTGGAGTCATGTTAAGCAGCAGGATGCCAAGAGAAGCAGCCTGCCCAGGAAATAGTGTCCTAAACTGTTTCCAAATCATGCAAATATGCTCACAACCTGGTCCTGCCAATACGCTGCATGTTTTAACAAGTTGACACTGTTGTTTTTCTTCTGAGAAACTGCTGCACTTCACCCAGAATTTCTGAAGCTACAAAAACCATCATGCAAAGCTTTATTGGAAATGGAAGTTTACACATGAAGAACAATCATCTATGCCTGCAACTTTCAGACAGAGACTCTGCACTTGGTCAGGCTACAGAAATCAGTAAAATGGTACTGTGTGTGTGTTGCAGAAGATTCAAAGAAACGCAGTTTCTGGAGTGGGCAGAGAAGATAGGTGCTGGAACAGGCTTTTGGTTATACAGCATAAAAAGATCCCAAAACATCAGGGAAGCAGGGTTCTGTCCTTACTACACCCCATAATTGTGTTTTAAAGAATTATCTCAACTCACTCAGATTACCTTAAGGAAAAGCTGGAAAACTTCGGAGTACAGACATGGCAAAGCAGCTGCTTGAACACAAGTGGAACCATAACATTCCTTAGCACAGAGGAAACACGGGCCAGGGTTGCCTGCTATCCTACACAGACAGGCACTGAAGCCAACTTAGCACCATTTCATTTTCCCCATATCTTCTCTGCTATCACATGTGTAAACACGTGTAAACATGTGACAGCCCACCGTAAAGAGGCACAAGCTAAATACAGGAAATTTGGGAGCACTTTACTAGGAAACTTTCTAAATCATCTTTCATCAGTAAGTACATGGATTTTTGTAATCCAGCTAGAAATATCCAATCTGTTCATCGGTTTCTTTAATCCCATACAACATACACACTCACTTTCCGTTACAAACCCAGACGGACACCTGATCCCTTCCCTCTGCCCATCTCAACACAAACACCGCAGAAACACCAAGTACAAAATTTGGAATGCTGTGAAAGTAAGGTATTATGAACCCAAGAACTAACTGCGTTTAAAAAACATTGTTATTATTATTAGTATTAGCTAAAAAAAGGACAAAGCATAGCACAAACGCCACTCGAGACCAGAGCGCCCACTCGAAGCACCCTGAACCCCAACCTGCGCGAGGGGTTCGGACAGTTCTCCCTTACTCGGACACCTCCGCAGTGAAGCCGCTACCGGGCAGTCCGAACATCCGCTCCCACGGCCGCGGAGCGGCCCCACGCCTGAACCCCCTCCCGGGGACTCGGCCCCGGCTGCCCATGCCGAGGGAGGGCCCGGCCGCCAGCCCAGAGCCCACACGCCCGTGCGGGCCACAGGAGCTCGGGGCCGCCGCCAGGCACCAGGAGCCGCGGGATGGGACGGGACAGGCCGCGCCCCTGCCCTCCCCTACCTCTCGGTTCTGCCGCCGCTGCCCAGCGCCGCGGGCGAGGCCGCACGGGGCGGACGAGGAGCCTTAGGGCGCTGCTCGGCGGGCGCCGCGCTGGGCATGGCACCGCCGGCGGGGCAGGCTCGCTCCGCCGCCGACACCCGCGGCAGCCGCGGGCCGACGGGAGCGCCGGGGCGCCCCGCCCGCCCCTGCGCGCATGCTCCGAGCGCCGCGGGCATGCGCCGCCCCGGCGCGGTGGGACGAGAGACCTGGCGAGCGGGAAGGGATAAGGAGAAAGACGCGCCTATGGAAGCAGCGGGTGTAGTTCCCAGCCCGTGCGCTTCGCATGGAGCGGCGGCTGCCGCTGGGCCCCCGCGCGGCCGGGCCCCGGCCGGAGAGCGGAGCACTCCGGAGCCGCAAAGAGATCGCATCCCGCGGGAAATACGGCCCCGCTCCGGAGAATTTGGGAAGCTGCGAGGCACTGAGTGATCGTTTAAAGCGATGTGCAAGTACCTTCCGAAGCTAACTGAAAAAAGGACGATAACGTGGCCTGCAGGGATAATACTGTTTCGACCACTATGGATATAGAAGCAGTGTTTGAAGAGAGGTGATATCTTGGGTTAACTACAAAGGAAAAGGATTTAGGACAGTGGGCTATAATACTGGGTAAGGGAAGATTTTAAGCTCACAAGCCAGTCTTCAGACCTGAAGTGAAAAAAAGTAAGAGGGCTCACGTATGCCCAAATTCCCTGTTCTGCGCTGATGGAGTTCATAAAAAGGCACTGCCTCACTACAAGCCTTACCCCTTAGTAACAACATTAGTCTGTCTCCAGAGTTTTCCTTACAATTCCAGCCAGTCTCATTCTCTATGCCAGAGTCCCCTGCAGTCTTTCCAACTGTGCTGCTGCCAAAACAGTTGATTATCATGGGGTTCCATTATGCTACTGCCACCCTGCCCACAAGTAGCTGATCATAGACATCTTCTTACAGTCAAAAAGGGAGCTCTCCAATATCTTCTGGGAAGTACTAACATTTTAGGTGACATCAAAATGATTCAACAAAAGTTGCTCCATGTAAGATTTAATGAAAAGAAAAAAAAATTATACCGAACATTTTTATTCACAGATCAGAAAGGAGACTGAAAACTCCAGTATTTTTTATAATGAGGCAAGCAAATAGAACCCACCCCCCATAAGTAGATAGTGATGAATTCCACAGCATTAATTCAGATTGTCTCTTTTTAATGGTTTAGAGGAAAATGTAGATCCCTAAAAAAAGAGTTTCAAGTAGCATGCCAAAGTATACACAATTTGAATTAAACAATTGTTCGGATATCTACAGCATTTGAGAATAAAAGAAACCTGAAAATCAGAAAGCAACAGGAACAGATTCAAAGAGTATTTTTCGCTTTTTAGGGATAGGCAGATAGTGGGTTTCAAGGAAGGAAAGATACAGCAACCTGCCAATGTTCTCACTGAATTCTGATCAGTCTGTTTCCATCATTTTAGCATCTATAATAATTGGATCAGACAGCAAGGAAAAAGGTGGTGGGAGGATGATACTACAAGAGATAAATAACCAGGCTAAAAATATGTTTCTCTGTACATTTGTTCCCTCATCTCAGAAAGAGCAGGCAGCTTTAGCTACAGCACATAAAGCTCTTATACTGACATGCCAGTGGCCCAGGCTGTAATTCAGCAGCCAGGGATTTTGCTAGCTAAGCCCTGTTTTCCCCTGACATGCTCTCAGCACTGAGTCCTGGAAGGAGAAGCTGATAGATCTGATTATTAGCTGTGCAGCAGAGATGCTCAACAGATGTTCTCACAGGCTATGAGCTAAAGCAATCCAGTCTGCTCACAAACAAACATGGGCTTGGCACTAGTGCTCAATACCACATGGAGATGGCTCTTAGA